CTATAATATCCCTAGTACCACGACCACTTCTAAATCCAGTCCGCACATCTGGCAGTTCTCTGTTGACATACTGTTCCAAACGTTTTTGGATAATTTTCAGCACAATCTTGCTTGCATGTGATATTAATGATATTGTTCGAAAAACAGGCAAGGAGACATTCTGTTTGGCATTGTCTCTATCGAAAACCCACAATCACTTGAATATGAAACTCCAGACATCACTATGGTATGAAGTGAAAAAGACAGAATGAAAAAAGGAAAGAATAAAGGGTAAGAGATGCCAGTGAACTCCCAAAATAGTGAGGTAAGAGATTACCGTTTTTAATGATAACTTCTGTCTTTAAAACAGGTGGGGGGAGGGGGCAGTGGTTTGGTGATTTAGTTTCCAAGACAGAAGATATTTACAGAGGACCTATCATACATTAGAAACTGTACACCTACATATACCTTGAGTTGTTGTCGTTGTTATGTGCCTTTGAGTCGCTTGTGACTCATAGCGACCCTATGTACAATAGCTCTGAACTCTGCTCTGTCCTGTGCCACGGAAAACACAACCTCTAAGAGGGAGATCTGGTGGATTAGTGTTAAGGATCTGTAATGTCAAACCAAAAGGCAAGCAGTTCTAATCCGCCACTGAAGGAGAAAGACGGGCAACTGGCTCTCATTCACTTTAGAGCCTCTGAAAACCAGCCACAGGGTCAGCGTTGAATCAGTTCCAACTCAATGACAAGTAAGAAAGCATACGAGTAGCCACTGCTCTACTCGCCTCTGGAACAAGTAAAAATATTAACAAGGAGAAAGCTAATGTAGAAAGTTTATTTGCAGTAGTACAAGATTTTATCATTTCTCTTTTCAATTTAGGATCTTAGAAAGCGATATAGAAGCAGTATATGAAACACTAACATATTTTTAAAGGTTTATGAATGTTCTGATTTATATAAGCTTTGCAAATCACAGCAAAGTTTATTATTTCTGTACTCTAGTCATAAAGGCATTTCCATTTTTAAAACAATACACTCAACCACTACATTTAGATCTTCTCAAATTAGCAATTAGAGAATTTAAACAAATATTAATAGGCCTAAGAATATACATAGTGTTTCCACTGGAAACCATGCCAACTTGAGCATGAAATGCTATATATATTCTGAATTTGTTGTCAGATGAGACTACCACAGGTGCTTATATGCATTTGAAGGTATTTTTCACATGCTCTCAACTAGCAGTGATGCAACACTGAAAGAGTCATGAGCATTGTTTTGGCACTTCTCACTGATGTTTACCCTAGAGAAGTTCCACACTTTAAAAGCTCTCTTTAAATAACTGTTGAATTCAACAATCTATTTTATTTCTAGTAAAAGCATTATAGGGCAGCTCAAAATAATTATATTCCAAAATGGACTACTTTTACTATTGCTATCCATAATATATCTTTCCTGAAAATTTTTTTATCTCATCTCACTATGGCTGAAAGTCATCCTCAGTCCTCGCATTCCACCATTTGCCAACTACCATCATACAAAATTGCTCTGCACTCAATCATTACCTTTCATCTGCCTAAAGGCAAGTTGAGTCACCACCATTTTTTGCCTGGATTATATTCCTGCCTAAAGTTCCTTTCCTGTCTTCATCAATTCAGTACATTTACTCACGGCGGCTAGACTATTATTTTTAAAACACAAATTGGTCATAAATAATTTATTTGAGCACTTCCAGGTACCTTCAGCCTTGAATATTGCAAAAAATCACTTCTGTGATCTGATCTTTGAGACTCATCTTTCTCATTCCTTGTCCTTCATGGTGTATTACAAGTAACATCTTCAAAATGTGTGCAATTCATGCTCTGTGGCTTGGTGTGCACTGACAGCTCCTTTCTTTCTATTCTCTATTCCCCTGTTTGGATGGCAAAATCTTTCTTTTCACTGTCCAAAAATTAGCCAACCTTCTCTTATGCTGATCCTGTAATTTTTACATACATATGCTTTGCACTTGTAAAACAAAATGATCAGAGACAGACAAGATTGATTTCCATGAGGAAAGGATTTATATCTAATAATCTTTTAATTCTGGGAAACTGACCACATGATCTACTCTAACATATCCAATTCAAAGGCAATACACTCTAATATATGTGGGCACATCAGAAAACCTATATGACTTCAGAAGAAGTAGATGATTTAAAATCTGCCTAAAAACAAAACAAAACAAACTCTAAAAACTGATTAGATAGGTTTTTATCTGTATACAGCTATGCAGAAAAATATTTTCAGGGGCAATTAATGATTTACCTAGTGAGAGGCAAAACAAACAAACAAATAAATAAATGAGACATCTAATC